TCCATTGAGCGTGAAACAATGGGTAATTGGTTTTTCAGTTTGGAATTGCTTTTACGTTGAGATTTGCTTTGAACGTTTGGACTTAATTACTTGCTAAACAAATAATAATAAGACTTAACCTCAAATATGTTTAATGAATGGATTTAAGTCATTATTAGTTTTTTTTTGAAAATTGACCCCTCAATTATCACTTTTTTTCAACCTAGATAATTTGGCCACATAATGACCGAGATTTTGTACATTTGACTTGTTTGAATTCCAACGGATTTGAAAACTCTGAACTGAATCTATTTCGATGTTTTGATGAGTGTTTTTTTTAAAGTCTGATTTGATTCCAAAAAACTTGTAATTGATTGGAATTCTTAACAAATTTAAATCATAATTTCAACTCAATTTTATTAAATAATCATTTAATTGTCATGTATCTATAATATGTATAAGCAATTTGAAATCTGATGAATAATCAGATGAGATTCAAATCTACAAAAATATTATCTCATGGATTCTAGTTGTTAGTCAAAAATAATAATTCATATCTGACTAACTGAGTTCAAATTTTGATCTAAATTTGTTCTATTGTGAGGACTAGTCTCAAAAATCCAAAATTACGATTGTATGTAGAAAAACAATTGCATATTCCTTTACCTACCTTAGTTTAGTTTTTGGATGTGACCTTTAACATAAAAATTGTTATGCGAAAATGAACATTAAAAGAAAAGGAGCACAGTTTATTCTTTCATAACTTTAACTGTACAATTAAGTTCAACAAACAATACCATTAGGTTAGCCACCTGCAAAGGAGGTGCCTATTATTACAATCTAACAAAAGAACTTTCACTGGGTCCTATTGGATTTCAATGAGACACAATAAATTTTACAAAGGATAGAGTTGAACTTTATCAGAATCTATAGAGTTTTAACCTAGGAAAAATACCAACGAGAGGATCTCCATATTATCTATGGTTCCTTTATTCATGGCTAAACAATGGAAACTAGATATTTTCACTCATAATCTTTTCCTTCTGGGTTTGGATGTCCAATTCTCTCAATAAACCATGTTGCCAGAGGAGGAATGCTTTGTTTGTCATGGAAGAAATTGCCGGGGTCCACCAAGGTCTTCACATATACTAATCTGTTGAAGTTGTCCACGAAAAATTTCCTACCCCAAATACTAGCCTGTGCATAGCTTGTGTTCCCATTATTATTGGCTCCTATATCTAGATCCCTGTAATTGATATATGCTTCTCTTGGATTCTTGGAAACATAAGGAGCCATATATTTATAAACTTTTCGGATCCAGTTGATATGCCTTCTCGAAATTGCTGACCCTTTTTCTTGCCATTCTACCTGGTATTCAATTTTGTATATGTTTCCGGCTCTGTGGGGAAAAGGTGTTTCAGAGGCTGCAATCTCACTCATTTTTCCGCCGTACGGAGTCAATACCAATAGAGGAACACCGACCTCTTCTTCAAGAAACCTTTTCCATATTCCTTCGAGCACGCTTTCAGAAACGGGTTCCTTCACGTAGTCTGACTTTATTTTATAGTTGCCTCTATAATTATAAGTCCTGTTCAACAAATCATTCAATGAATCTAGCTGTATGCCATAGAAATAGAGATTTGATCCAATCCAGCTTGTTTCGATACAGTCTTCTTTCACCAATCCCAATTCCGGAAAGTCTTCTTGCATCAACTTAAGTAATCCATCAACTCCACCCAAAAACAACCCAATAAATGAAACTTGAAGTGTCTTGTTTCCATTTTCACTTGAGTTCACAGTAAATGCAATAACTCTAATGAAAAGGTTCTCATCAACCTTGTCTGCAATGTATTGCCATCGATGGATAAGTTTTGTGGCATTTTGTTCCAAAGTTTTGCTTACTGTGAAAACAGTTACATTTTCTGGAACGATAACTAAATTTACTTTCCAATCCAAGATAACACCGAAACTAGCGCCTCCACCTCCTCTTATGGCCCAAAAGAGGTCTTCTCCCATTGACTCTCTGTTAAGGATTCTACCATTGACATCAATTAATCGAGCGTCAATTACATGATCAACAGCAAGTCCGAACTTACGCAGTAGAATGCCATAGCCTCCTCCACTGATATGGCCACCGGAACCAACAGAAGGGCAAATACCTGCTGGAAAGCCAAGTGTGTTACTCTTATTTACAATATTGTAATAAAGTTCACCAAGAGTCGCTCCAGCTTGAAACCATGCCGTATTGTCTGTAGTATTGACAGAGACTGATCGCATGTTGATCATATCAATGATGATGAATGGCAGTGGAGAAATATATGAAAGCCCCTCATAGTCATGTCCTCCACTTCGAACTCTTATTTGTATGCCATATTTTCGGGAACAATATATAGCTCTTTGAATATCGGACTCATTCAACGGTGTGATTATGGCCAAAGGACGTGGGGTGCTAGGCGAAGTGAATCTTAGATTTTGTATGGAGAAATCCAAGACAGATAGATATGAGGAGTTCTTTGGTGTGTAAATAAGCTGAGAGATTGAGGTGTTTTGAGACGGATGGGAAAGACATTGAAGAAAAGCTTTATTGGTATGAGCAGAAGCTGCCCATAAAATTGAGAAGAGAAAAACAAAATGAAATGAAAGCAAAGAAGCTCTTGGGGTTATCATCATCTTTGTTTATTGTTCTGGTTTTGTGTGAAAAACTATAGAAGATGTCTCCTATTTATAGAACCTTAAAGGGAATTGTTTTTTTTATATTTAGTTGGTTCAATGATTTGAGTTAGTCAATAATCAAGTTGTACAGTCATAGCTAACATTTGGTGACCTTCTCTGGGTTGTTTGGATATGATAATGTCGAATTGAAAACTTCAATTTTCAGCCCTTTCAGAAACACACCTGCCCCAACTAGTAATGGAAAATCACTAGTTGGACCTGAAATGTGATTTATAATCCTTTATTCGGGGACTATCTTACATGATTTTCCATTACATAACCTGATATAATAATAAGCATCTTGAATTCTTGACATGGTCTTACGGGATGCTTTTTACACTTATTTGACTTCCTCTAACCTGATATGATTGTAGTTTCTAGAATTGCATTCCAAAGGGTTATTGACTGGCAGCCATGGGCAAATTTTGGGTAAGTTTGGGTTGTGCTTGACCGTTGATTTTGCGGGCCGGTGAATCCATTTGGAAGCATAGACTGAGAATCAGATAATCTAAACTCAAATTAATAAATCAGTGTACAAAAGTCTCATTACTACAACATTTAGGAGGATTAGATATACGTAATCTTATTTTGCATGCAGAGAAACTGTTTTGGCAACTTGAAACATTGAAACTCATACCACAATAGAACAATTAAATCCCACTCTCAAATCAGAGTAAAACTAGGCTTAAAAATCAGCCTAATAAATTCAATCAAAAATTTTTTTTTTCTTTTGAATGAAGGAGAAAAAACAGAAGTGAAAATTTTCTGAAAAAAATTGAGTTTGTCGTCTGACTACCATCGATGGAGTTAATAAATAGTGTCAATTTTTGGCGTCCAAATAACATTTTTCCGAAGTAAAAGATTGATGTCCCTAAAGGTGGTGGGTTTCGTGAATATGATAATTTTGAATTGAAAATTTCAATTTTCAACACTTTGAGAAACACACCCACCTCAGCTGCATAATAAACTAGTAATCACCGTCCCGAAGCAAAAATCTAAATGTTCTTTATAATCCTTTATGGGTCAATTACATTTTGACCTACTAAACTATAGACTTGATTTCACTTTGTCCCTTAAACTATTGAAAATTTCACATTGCCGTGTCAACTACTTTGATCATTTTGCATTGCCCTACTCGCAACGTTTGTTATCTTTTTGGATAGAAATTACTAACGTATTGAGACAAAGTAAAAAAAATAAGATTTATAAAGTTTAGATGATAACATAAAATAACTTTATGTTAAATATGTAACGGACGTTAATAATTGAGGTAACGTGAAACGAATCACAAGTTGAAGGTGCAATGTAAAAAATATGATAGTTAAGAAAATAAAATGACAACAAGATTATAATTGAGGGATCAAAATATAATTTGCCACCTTTATTCATTTACTACTTCATATGGTGTTTTTTTCCCATTACATTAAAAACCATTGGTGTTGGCTTAAATAATCATACGTAGTTCTGGACATCGTCACTACAAGGTCTAAGCAGAATTAGATATACACAGTTGTTGCTTCAAAATTTGTTGCTATCAATAGAGATGCCTCAATCAACAGACAAAATATACAAAATACTGAACTAACAAAGAAATATACCTTTATTAATTCAATTGAGTGGGTTTCGGTTTTAGAGTGACTGATTTAACAGCATTTGATTACATCACTAACTATTTATTAAAAACTAACTCTAGCACTACTCTTAGAACTTAGATGCCCTGATCGTGGGTCTTGTGGGGGGTTTGAGTTGTTGTTCGTCTTCCTCCTTTTCCTCTTTTATAACCATTTCTCTTGACAGTTTCTCCCTTATCGATGGTTATTTGGCTTTGTAAATCTCAAACAATTATTTCCTCTTTCGAACCAGAGTTGTGACTGGTTGCTTCCCGCATTTGCTTCAAATCTTGACACGTGGCAGTCCTTTAATAATTTTAGGCTTGCCAACTACATAAGTATAGAATGCTTTCATAATTTTTTATTTTATGTCCAAACAGTAGTTTTATGCTGTGTGAAGAGAAGTTTTTTCGTGATTCAAATCTTTAATACTCATATTACAATAGAACAACTTTTATGTTGGGTGTCGGAGTCCACTCATAAATCAAAGCAAATTTAGGCTTAAAAATGAGCCTAAAGCATCGAGTCCTCCAACAAAGAAGTGAAATTCATTCAAAATATTACCTTTTCATTTGAGTGAGGGGAAAAAAAACAAAGAAGACGAAAAAAGTGAATTTTTTTTAAAAAAATTTGAATTTGTCGATGGAATTCCAAACTTTGTATCCAAATTTTTTTTACTCAAATCCAAGTAAAAGCTTGATGTCCATAAAGGAAATAGTTAAGGCCTCTTTGGATGACGGTAATGAAGACACCATATTATATTTTTTATTATAATTAAAATTGTGTTTTTAATTATCAACTAAAAATATAATTGATGAGTCCAGATTCAACTAGATCAGACCTAACAAATCCAGTAAGCCCAAGTCAACTAAATGGTAGCCCAAGCCTGATTCATCAATCCAACCCAGTTCAAGGTCCAAGGAGTCTATGAAGAAAAGAGCACGAGGGAGAAAAATTATTGCGATACACACTCACGAAGATCAAGACTACCTTAATTTTACTTACCTTTTGTAGTTATCCTCCTGAGAAACAAGTGTCTTTACTCTCACGTCACCGCCTTATCATGCCTATAAATTGTAAGCTCTCTTCATTGAGAGGGACATCTTACTACATCACTCTACACCTCTACACACCTTCTATCGCCTAACTATTGTATCTTTTCTGGGACTAACCATTGCTCTCCCCCCGGTTCACCTTATTTCATCAATAAAGACCTCCAGCCACCGTTGCCATTTTTCAGAGTGGAGTAGGTCACTCTGACCGAATTATTATATATTTGTGTGTTGACTCAATATTATATTACTGCTATTGATTGCTTTATTAATTGTCCTTTAATCACACCCTATCACACATTCGACTGTTGATCTTGCACGAGACTATTTTGTGTATCATTAGTTCGTTGTTTATGGGAAACAACTAAGTTTTTCACTACCCTGCTATCCCATGGCAATCACGACCAGGTCGATGAGTCAACAACTAGGAGACAACAACTCGGCCCATCGGGAGGAGGCTCAGCCTCCCCCTATACCCTCGGAACCATCCACTGAGGCGACTCTTGTGGTAGGGCAACAACTCCCTCTGATGGGAGAAGCACCACAACCTCTCCACTCCGGGCATCCCTCGCACAAGAGTCCTTCTCAGCGCTCAGGAAGCTCACGTGTTCTCCCTCTTCATGTACTTACGCAAGAGGATGAGGGAGAAAACTAGTATGTCTATCATGAAAGCTATTATAATGACATGATGGAGGATGTCCCCAACCAATAGGACAAGAAAATCAAGGAGGTGCAAAAATAAATTGGTGACGCCCTCAATGCCATCAAAGTATAGGCCCCCGAGGCAGTGGATTACTCCTGTTACCCACCTGCTCACTATCAAGCAGGACCGAGATGAAAGCTTTAGGAGCTACCTCACTCGTTTCAATGAGGAGAATCTCCAAATCAAGGAGTCAGACGATAAGGTAACCATGTACACCTTTATTGCAGGTCTACGCCCCTCTAACTTCATGTTCTCTGTCCTAATGAAGTCACCCTCCAGTATGCCCAAACTGTTGTCAGGGGCACGAAAGTATATGAATGCCGAGGATGTCACCAAAGCCCGACAAGGTAGTCCTCCCACAGGGGTGAGAAAAAAAAGGATACCCACGAAGACAGAAAGAAAACAGAGAACAAGAATAATATAACAGAGAGTCTATGTCAAGGACCGCCTTGGTCTTGTACCCCCGAGAGAGTGACAACCCTTCACTCCACTCAACGCCTCGGTGGAGCACATCTTGTTCCAGATACAGGATGACACCATGCTTCACTGGCCTAGAAAAATGAAGTCCGCCCCAAACTGCAAAAATCCCAACAAGTATTGTCACTTCCACCTCGACCACGACCATGACATTGACGATTGATTCGAGTTAAAGAGAAAAATCGAGGAGCTTATTCAGCGTGGCTAGTTGAGGTAGTAAGTTAGTGGCAAAGGACATGCCTCGCCACTTGGCCGAGACCAAGATGACAAAGAACGCCAGCAATCCCTCAGAAAAATTCAGACATTCCCTGAGGGCTAGGAGGAAGAGGCAACTTCAACTCTGCCAAGAAAGCCTCGAACCATCTATGGGATGTCAAACACCTGAAGAACTATTATCAATAGCTAGTACAAGCTAGTGACTCTCATTTTATCTATCATTTATTGTTTTAGTTGATTTATTATGTTATTTATTATTTTATAAAATAATATTTTGCGAAGATTATTGTGTCCATAATTGTCTTGCTTTTATAAAGTTTGTAAATAACTTACAAAAGTCATGACATGAGCTAACAACAAGGTAGATAAAAAGACAAAAGTCATCATACTCCCGACGATCAGTCATTGCTCTCCGAGTCAATATCATCAAGACTCTCTTTGTCGCTATCTACCTCTGGTACCTTATATGAGGCAAAGCCAAAATCAAGTAAATACCAAGGAAATACCTACACCAAGGAAGGAAAAAATATTGGCACCAAGTAACATACCTCCTGAACTCTATTTGTCCATGTGACTGCCTAGCCGCTTCCTTATGTTACCCAAGGCGTCGCCCGAATGACCTGAGATGTCGCCTGAGCGACCCGAGGCAAGTGACCCGAAGCATCGCACCTATACCCAACACTCCTCGACGTCCATGCCTAGTGGTGTCCAACATTCCTCGACATCCCTGCCCAATGGTGCCCAGTGCCACTAGTCGTCCTCATCCAGCGGCGCCCACGTCTCAATCTCCAGCTTAGCGGCTCCCACATGAGTAGCCAAAAGCTTAGCCTATCTCTACTCTACTCCCACGGAGACAACCTTTATCTCCAGTTTAGCGGCTTTCATGAGAGTCGCGAAAGCTTGGTCTATCTCTGCTTTGCTTTCAAGTAGGCAGCTTATATCTCTGGCTTAGCAGCTCTCACGAAAGTCGCCAAAAGCTTAGCCTCTCTACTCTGCTCTCAAACAGGCATCCTATATCTCAAGCTTAGCGGCTCTCACGAGAGTCGCCAAAAGCTTAGCCTCTCTGCTCTGTTCTGCTCTCAAGCATCCATCCTATATTTTCAGCTTAGTAGCTTTCATGAGAGATCTGCTCCCACGCAGACAGTCTTTATCTCAAGCTTAGCAGTTCTCACGAGAGTTGCCAAAAGCTTGGCCTATCTATACTATACTTCCACGCAGAAAACCTATATCTCCAGCTTAGCGGCTCTCACAAGAGTCATAAAAAACTTGACTTATCTATGCTCTGCACCCACATAGGTAGTTTATATCTCCAGTTTAGCGGCTCACACAAGAGTCACCAAATGTTTGGCCTAATTCTGCCTCCGTTCTCAAGTAGGCAGTTTATATCTCTAGCTTAACGTCTCTTTTACGAGTTGCAACAAGCTCGGCCTAACTCTGTTATGCTCCCAAGCAGACAGCCTGTATCTTCAGTTTAGTGGCTCTCTCGTGAGTCGTCAAATCTTGGTCTATATCTGCTCTGCTCTCAAGTAGATAACCTATATCTCCAGCTTAACGTCTCTCATGAGAGTCGCTAAAAGCTCGGCCTAATTCTATCTTTACTCTCAAGTAGGTAACCTTTATCTCCAGCTTAGCAACTCTTATGAGAGTCGCCAAAAGCTTGGCATAACTCTACCTTTGCTCTCACGCAGACAACCTCACGAGTCGCTTAGAAAGTTTGGCTTAATCCTACATCTGCTCCCAAGTAATTTATGTATCCAGCTTTGCGTTTTTATGTATCTAGCTTCGTGCTTTCTCACGAATCGCCAAAAAGCTCGGCCTAATCTTACATTCTGTTATCGAGCAACCTCAATATCGCTCACTGGAAGCAACCTAGCCATCGGACGTTGTCCGAAAAATACTAGAGACATCAAACATCACCCTCTTAGGAGGATGGGAGGACGCCAACCTAACAACATAAGGAGCCTCCACCATCGCTCTATCAATAGGGTGTCTGTAATTAGAGACAAGATCAATTTAAAGAATTAATATCGAGAAAACATTAAGGAGAAAACAGAATTGGAGAAAATGAGTTTTCCTCCTACCTAGCCAAAAACCATCACAGTCTCCCTCTCTGACAAAACCTAGAACACCAATCGGCCGCCCATGAATGCCTGACAACTGCCTGCCAGAGCGCAACTTTCTACCTTGTCGGTTTCACTAATTTGTACTTAAAACTCAAATGCAGAGAGAAAGAAGCATTTTTTTGGAAAAATTTGTTGCCCAAACTGCATTCGACAGTTTGTAGGTCGTAGATCTCAAAAAAAAACCCCCCGAATTCAAAAAATAATTCACCTCAAATGGACAACCAAGTGCAAAGTTATGACCATTCAAAATTTTGCCCATTTTTTTATGATTTTTTGATTCTCTGGCCAGCACCCCAGCGTGTGCTCCCATCTCTTAACTATGCTCAAGCCTCCCTAGTGTCGCCTCTTGCTCCAAGGTGTTGCCCACATCTGCGGGGTCTGCATCCAACACCCAACTTAGCGCTTACAAGGCATTGCCCAGCAGCCTGGCGCTACCGTGCTCCTCTACATCCTCTACCTGTCAGGGCCCGTCGCTTGTGCCAGCTATCGTCTTTAGCCCGCCTATGTTGGGTTCACCCAATCCTAGCCCAATGCCTGGCGCTGCTCAGCCCTCTAAGCACGGCGTCGCCTTCACCTTCGTCTTTAGTCATGACGTCGTTGCCACTCTGCTCGTACTTGCCACGGGCGCTGCCTGGGTCCCTCACCTGTGCAAAATCCCATGCCTTCGGCCTCTTCGATGTCATCAAATCCTCTTACCCGGGCAATCCCTGTGCCTTTGCAATTGGTTTGGTGCCGCCCAAGTCCTTGGAAGTTGGGATGACGTCACCTAGATCCTTGGAAGCAGGAAGGGCATCGCCCAAGCCAAGGCCACGACTATCCCTCGCCTTCTTGACATCCATGCGCAGTTGCGGAATGAAGAAAGGATAAGCCGTAGGTCGCAAGATACCTTCTATTTATTCGAGAGCTCACTCATACCCTCAACTTCTTTTCTCTCGCAAGCAATCGGGGCTTGGGGCATGAGGGGCAAATGATGAGCTTAGATTCAACTGGGTCAGACCCAACAAATTCAGCAAGCCCAAGTCAAATAAAAGGCAACCCAAGCCCAGTTCATCAATCCGACCTGGTCTAAGATCCAAGGAGTCTATGAAGAAAATAGCACGTGGGAGAGAGATAATTGGGATATACACTCTCGAAGATTAAGACTACCTTAATTGTACTTACCTTTTGTAGTTATCCTCCTGAGAAACTAGTGTCTTTATTCTTACGTCACCGTCTTACTATGCCTATAAATTATAAGTTCTCTCTATTAAGAGGGGGCATCTAATTACACCACTCTACACCTCTACATCTCTTTACACACTTTCTCTGTCCTAACTATTGTATCTCTCTTGGGATTAACTATTGTTGTCTCCTCCGTTCACTTTATTTTATCAATAAAGACCCCCAGCTATCATTGACATTTTTCAGAGTGGAGTAGATCACCAGAACCAAACTATTGTGTATCTGTGTATTGACTCAAAATTTATATTATTGTCATTAATTACTTTATTAAATGTCTATTAATCACACATTATCACACACTCAACTATTAATCTTGCACGAGACTATTTTATGCATCATTAATAATTGTTAGCTATAGAAATGTAATCCATATCCTCACGTGCTCACGATGGGATGGCAATCTTGATGTCGGGTTTATTGTAATCATAATTTCATCAGTAGATTGTCTTATTATTTATGAGAACAATAAAAGTGGTTTAGGTAACCAAAGACAGTAATAAGCGGGTGGTAAAGTAATGGATATACCTAACTAACATATTTGACTCTTGTTTTTTATTCTTATCCTTTCCATCTATAGATTTTATATTTGAATCCCAAACGAATAAGAGTGGTTGAATTAATTGCACTTATGGCATTGTATCCCCCCATTCATGCCTTCTTTTTAACTTTTTTAATGAAGTCCACTAATTTCCATGCTTGTGACTATGACATAGATGAGAGTAGGTAGAAAATTACTTGTCTTGGTTCTTTTAATTAACATTAATAAAGTTGCCGACAGCATTACCTAAAAACGTTGGATGGTTTGAAAAGATGTTTGATCATGGAGAAATGTGTTGTTTACTCCAACTAAAAATATAAATTTAATCGTTACTCGGTTCAAGAAAAAGAGATAGTTGACTGCGTAAACACAGGCACGCTGTTTGTGGTACACAATTCTCAAAACAGAGATTAAATTATGTTAATAGTAATCATGCCGGGGATTGGGCTATCCCACGTCGGGATAGCTTTGGGTGTGTGTTAATTTAAATACTCAACTTAGCACTTCCTCTTTTAAGAGGTTGTGTTAAGTGTGTGCTCAAAAAAAAAATGATTAATAATATTTTTTGTCTTTAAAATATGTATTTTTTTATTATATTAATTTTGTCTATTTAATTCCTAAAATATTAAATTCGTGTCATTTTAGTTCTATATAGATAAACCGTTAAATTTTGGACGGAATGATCATGTGTTAAACATGTGATACCATCCAAAAAAAAACGACACGTGATCACTTCCATCAAAAAATTTAACGAATTTTTTGATTAGAGATCAAAGTGATATGGATTGAAACCAAAAAGTATCTACAAAATATTACTTGACCCTCAAAAATATAAAATTGGTCTCTACAAATTTGTATTTTATAGTATTGGATTAAAAACTAATTTTTTGGTATCATAAACTTGTCATAAAAAAAATTGCATGATCTATTAAAATTGTATGATCAACCGCATCACAATTCAATTCAAGATTTGTACATTTGGTAGCTATTGTTATTATTATTTTTCTTTTTTGAGGGGGAGGGGGAGGGGGATGAGAGCTTGAACCTTTGACTTTACAAAGACAAAGTCTTCACAAGGTAAGAAGTACTATTAGATCAAATGTCCGTTGGTAACTATTGTTAATAATGCTGCCTACAAATTACAATTATAAAATATTATGATTGATCTCGAGAGTTATAACTTTTAAAGATAAGGTTATAATTTATAAAAGTGAAGTTGCAATTGATTAGAGGATATTTATGATCGATCAATCACATTGTATGATCGATCATGAATATCTCAAATAATTATAATATCACCTTTAATGGGCGTAATTTGAATTTTAAAAATTATTCGGAAAAAAACTTTAAAAGTAATAACTTTTAGTACAACACTCAAAAATTGTTTTTTGGTACCTTAAATAACTTTTGACATGATTTATAAATTTACAAAATTAATGTAAGATAGGCAAAACAGTGTTTAATTTGGGTGACAAACAAATGAATCTATTAGACTTACCAAATAAACAAATTGATATAAACTATGGTAAATACAATTTAAACCTTGTTTATGGACAATAAAAATCTGACACTATGAACTTTACTGTATTACAAATAAATCGAATATAAGTAGAAATAATTTTAACATGATATAAGTTTTAGAATAAAGTTTATTTTTTATTTTTATTTTTAATTAATTTAACATTATGTAACAAACAAATTCAATCCAATAGTGACAGAGTTGACACTCGAATTTAGTACAACACGGAGAAAGTTTTTTTTGAACATCGGAGAACCGGAGAGCCATAGCTGAAGAGAGAAACACATCTGAGACTTAAATGGAAACCAAAAAAGCCTAACTTTTGAAGTCAGTGATAACACTTACGTACCACACGTTCAACCTCTCTCTCTCTCTCTCTCTCTCTCTCTCTCAAAACATGGGTGGGGCTATGGGCCTAAAGTCGGGACTAAAGTTTATATCGGGTCTCCATCACTATCGAAAAATACAATAACAAGATCCGAAAGACATAATTTAAGAAGTTAATGCAATGGTATAACTCGAGTTCTAAAAGTTTATTCTTGAACAAAAATAATACGTATCTAAATTTATAAGAGTAATCAAAAAATCTAAATTGAAAAGCACTAAAGTAACTAAAAAATTGCAATTCGGCTTCATTTGATTTTATTATTTATCTACTTAGTGGTCCAGTCTTCTTCAATGCACGGTATATATATTCGTTCACTTAAATTGTTTTTTTATCCATTTCTTTCTTTTTTTACCTAATCACTTATACTCCGTTTGGTATGATGAAAAAGTGAGAGGATGAAAAGTTAGAAGGACGAAAAGTTGGAGGGATAAATAAAACATCATGTTTGATAAGGAAGGAAAATAGGAATGATGAATTAATTTTCTTTCCAACTCATAAAAATCAATCCCTCCAAAATTAGAAGGAAAGTGGATGAAAAATTAATTATTTTTTTTTGAGATGTATTTTATTTGTTTATATATCTTATATATACATTAATTTCATATAAAAATACAATGGTAAAATATGTATATATATTTTAAAAATTAATTTAAAAAAAATAAAAAAAAAATTTAAATAAAAAAAAATAGTTTTTCTATCTTAACTAAGGGTGAAAATTTTCGACTCAACACGATGATACGATTCGAACTAGATAAGAAAATAAATAGGTCAACTTGCAATTTGACATGACACAATTAATTAAATGAGTTAAGTTAGGTTTGACTAATATTTGACACAAACTCGTAATGACTCAATATGAATTTGACACGACACGACTCGACTTTATTGTCATCCCTAATCTTAGCCAGCACAAAAAAAAAAATTAGTCATTTTTATTTACCATCCATCCAACCAAATACAAAGGAAGGAAAGTATATCCTTCTTACATTCCATCCTTGAATGATAGAAAGTGTATCCTTCTTACTTTCTATCATCCCTACCAAACAGAGCATTAAGAAATTCTATAAAAAATTATTTGATAATAAAATAATTTTATTTGAATTAATTTAATAAAATACTAGCTAGTTAATTTTTTCTTTTTGGAGGAGGGGTTGAGAAACAGTTTATAGTAAAATGACTTGAAAAGTCTATCCTCCCCATTTCGGGAATTCATAGAGTTTCGAAAAGAAAGATCAATTATTTAGGATCTTTCCTTTTTTTCAAACAAAACAAACAGATGTAAAATCAAACTAGTTCCCAAAACATTTTTGGGTATTTCTTAAGTTCCCGATTATTCAGGAAACATGATCATTTGTTTCGGAAAAAAATAGAAGAATTACAGCCTTTACAAGAGGTTCGAAATGTATCCCATTGATGGTCACAAAGTTATCAATGGTCACCAACTCAAATTCATGGCCACATGTTCCTTTATGTTCAGACCCAATAAAAAAAAAAAAAAAGGTTCCTTAAGTTTCTACGGCAAGTGACAGTTTGCCCCTAAGCAATTTTTAAATTTTAATTTTGATCTCGTAGAGACGAAAAAACTATGTAAGCTGAGCATTATTCGAGATTTGATTTTCTTTTTCTTTTGGGTTAATAGTATTTTTGGTCCCTAAAATATTTATTTTTTGTCAATTAAGTATTCAATCTATCAATTTTGTCAATTTGATTCAATTCGTATAATTTTGGTTCCCACATAGACGGACTTTTAAGTTTTTGACAAAATGATCACGTGTTAGGCACGTGATACCGTCTAAAAAAATGACATGTGACAACTTCTGTCAAAAAACTTAATGGTCCGTCTACATGAAAACCAAAATAACACAAATTAAATACTTTAGGGACTAAATTGACAAAATTGATGCATTACGTACTAAGCTGACAAAAAATACATACTTTATGGACCAAAAATACTATTAACCCCTTTTTTTTAACACTAATGCTATTGGGACATAATTTCAAATCATAATTTGAAGACATAATAATGTATTATGACCAATGATTTGATAGAGAATGCATTTAATGATGAGACCTATTGCAGTGTTTAATGCCTTCTGCTATCACTCCATTGGTCACAATGCATTATATCTTTAAATTATGTTTTGAAATTATATCTCAATAATATTGCTCTTTTTTTAATTCAGTTTTCGGCATATAGAGAT